CCAGGAACTCCGAACACAGAGGCGGAGCGCCGAGCGGCGTGGAGATCGTTACCGCAACGAGTCCGGGTAGCTATAAGGCGCCTGCACCGATCCTTTGGCCATCTGCCAAACGCAGTCCTGACACAGGTTCTGAAGCAGGCCCGGGCGAGCAAAGATTTCATCGCCGCCGCCGGACTTTACAAGTGTAAGGTCTGCCTGGACACAGCTCCAGTGCCCAGGCATCACCCTGTCGCTGGGGATAGCGTATTTCCAAAAGAATGCAACCATACGATAGGAATGGATGCGCTCGAGGTCAAGGACTTCTTCGGAAATCGCTATACTGCTGTCAATATAGTTGACATGGGAACCAGTTTCCAGCAAGTTGTGCTCGTGAAATCTGGAGGAGGCAACCCAAGTGCCCGCCAGTGTGTGAAATGCCTGATCGACAGGTGGATCAGCTGGGCTGGACATCCCAAAGTCATAACCACTGACAGAGGGACGCATTTCAGAGGAGAATTTTCAGAGTATTTGGCACAGCGTGGTATAATCCATAAGAATGCCCCTCTCGAGAGCCCGCAGACCATCGGAAAGGTCGAGCGCCATGGTGGACTTGCCAAGGCCATTATTAGGAAAGTCGCGCAGGAGGCTCAGCCCTCGAATATCGAGGAGATGGAGGCGGTCGTTACCGAGAGTGTTACTACTAAGAACGAGCTTAGTAGACACCAAGGGTTTAGCCCAGCGCAACATGTGTTGGGAAAGCAGCCTCGAACACCAGGTTCCGTGCTAGATGAATCCGAAAGCCTTGGTACATTGTTCACCAAGTATGATGAGACGAGCGTATACTACGTTCGGCACAGAGCACGGCAGGAAGCCAAAAAGGCCTTTGTCCATTTAGAGACTTCTCGCAAAGTGGCCAAAGCGTTGCAGCGTAACGCAGCCCCTCTAGACACCGACTATAAGGTTGGCGATTTAGTTATCTATCGCCGAGATAACGTCCCTGGCAGCCCAGGTGTCGTATGGTCCACGGTTAGCCGCGTCATAGGACGCGAGGCAGAGAATGCGTACTGGGTATTACACGAGAATATCCCTGTACTAGTGAACGCTAGGAAGATGCGCCCAGCTGATGAAGTTGAAGTTGCAGCGCATCGCGTTTTGGCAGGTGAACCAGTGCTTCCGGAAGCCATCGTACATGGGCCGGAACAAAGGTTCCAGGATGAACGCGTAGCGGACCCGGTCACAGCACCAGTGACGCCACGTCCAGTGGCCGTAGCTGCCCCGCTTACACCGGCAGTCGCGCATGATGTGCCTATGCCAGCGCCATCGACGCCAGCGATGATGCCCGGCACACCGATGCCAGCGCCATCTACTCCCGCAAGGTTTCGCGCCAAAGATAAGACGGGCGAAACCGCTCGGTCGCGATCACCAGTAGGAGGCCGTGATGACGCACTAGTTGCGGAAGAGCTTGATCAAGTAGAGATCATGGCGAAAGGCCTGATAGATGCTCAAGGTTTTTCCCCAGATGAGTGTCTGGCCCTCCTTCGCGCTTTTGACCGCGACCGACGCGAGGCGTACACGCGCCCGCTCCTAGATGATGGAGATCCCGGGAGCATAGCCCTCGCGGTAGGAGTATATCGACACGGTGGTCTTGTTGGTGTCTCTGGACCGACGCGCGAGAGACCGTCGTTCGCCATGTACCTCAACCACTATCTCTTGCATCACAGTATGCAAGCCGGACACCACCTCCCACAGTGGAGTAGCGTTCAGCTTACCAACAGAGGCGCAGAGGCCCATAGGGACCTAGCGAACACTCCTGGCTCGTATAACTACACTATAGGTGTGGGCGAGTATCGTGGAGGCGGTCTATGGGTGGAAGAAGCCACGGGTACAACTCCCGTGCGTGTTCAAAACGCGACAATGCATGGCACCGTCCATGATACTAAGAACAAGGTTCTTAAGTTTCGCCCAAAGGACGTGCACATGGTCGCACCGTTCGTAGGAGAACGATACAGCATCTCCGCATACACGGTGAGTGACCTCGGCAAGTTGTCTAAAGATGACATACAGCTTTTGTCGGATCTAGGCTACCCCATATACAGGGATACGCCTAATATCTTTGGCAGGAAGAGCGATGGGATATATACCATGGGCCATTCTGACCTTCCCATTGAGACGTTCCTAGAACGCATTCACGAATACGGGATCAAAGAAATCGTTGACTGCAGGAGTCACCCGTATAGCGTTCGGCATCCACAATACAATTGTGATGAGCTTTCTGCCACATGCTTTGCAAAAGGAGTTGTGTATAGTCACGCCCCCGAGTTAGGCAATAGGAACCGGGGCGGGATTGAGGCCAACCTGCAGACAGACCAGGGGCTCTGTACGATCGCTAGGATAGTTAGCGAGGCTCCCGATGATTTTCACCGGACACTTCTCTTGTGTTCGGAGGCCAGTTGGCGGCGATGCCATCGGCGAAATATCGCCCAGCACCTATGGCTCGAGCATTCGAAACTCGCGGAGCACATACGTGCTAGCGGACTGCCAGAGGCCCATCCGTGTCACTACGCTCCTGAGGAGGACGACGGACTGGCAGCAGCATCGCACACAGCTGCGATTGGCACGACAGTACCAGCAGTTGAGCCCTCGGATGGTCGCGAGGCGGAATCCAAGGCCTTTGCTCTCACCCCTGATGGGGAATATGCCTTCGGCTCTAACGTCGATGTTGGCTATATGGCTTCGCTCTTGGACTATCACAAGGCTCCTGTGGAGGTGCAGTTAGGCCTGGATGCTGCTATGAAGACTGAGTGGCAGAAGTACACCGAGTTCAATGAGGTGGTCCCTTGCACAGACAAGGAGTTTAAGGAGCTTACAAAAGCTGGCCACGTGTGTATCCCCACCAAATGGGTTCTTACCGATAAGAACGAACACCTAAAGGGGACAGCAGCATACACTCCCAAGTGGAAAGCACGCTTGGTCGCATGTGGAAACTTCGAGCATATCTCGAATGAGGAGGATATCAGGGCAGATAGCCCCACGGCCGAGCCGGAAGGTATAGCCCTTCTGTGTTCATGGGCGGTTTCGTTGGCCCTGCGGCTCAAAGCAGCCGATATAACGAACGCATACTTCCAAGGGAAACCCCTTGAGCGCCTCCTCATCCTTCGGGTTCCCAAACACCCTAAGGGTGTGCCCGATGCAGAAATTCAGAAAGCCGGGTATATGATTGCCCGAGTACCCGTGTACGGCACCACCGACGCGGGCCGGAACCTTTATCTCCGCATAAAGGAGAGTTGTAGAGAATTTGGCTTAAATGCCTCGCAAATTCTGTCAGCCCTGTACTATATTACAGGAGAAGGTGGTCGTTTGTGTGCTTGCTTGTGCACCCACGTGGATGATTTCCTGTGGGCTGCTACCGCCGAAGGCGAGCCGGCTATCCAGAATCTACTGGATAAGTTTAAGATCGGTCGCATAGAGACTGAGAAGTTCCGCTTCTGCGGACGCGAGTATGTGCAAAGCGCCGATGGGACCATCAGTATAAACTGTAGGGACAACACGCGTGCAATCCGCCCGATCGATATACATAAATCGGAAAAGGGCTCGACCCCAGTCTCGAATGGCCAGCGCACAGCGTTGAGATCTGTCATAGGATCGCTGGCCTGGGTGGCTCGCGCCACGAGACCTGATCTTGCCTATAGGGTGAACGCCCTGCAGCAGCGTGTTACGACAGCCACGGTGGATACGCTCCGTGAAGCAAACCGCGTAGTAGCACTGGCGTTAGGAGATGCGGATAGGCCGATCACGTACAGCGCTAAGTTACCCTGGAGCACAGGGGATCTGGCAGTTGTCACGTTTTGCGACGCTTCTTTTGCAGGAGAGGCGAACCATAAGTCGCAGAGAGGCCGTTTCCACTATCTCACTTCCGCACAGTCGGCGGTGGACAAGAACGCGCCAACGCATGAGATGCACCTCATTTCGTTTTCCTCGTCCACCATGAAACGGGTTTGTCGAGCCACACTACAGTGTGAGGCTTACTCGTTGCAACATGCCATAGAGCATGGGGATCGTATTCGAGCAGCAGTACTCGAAGTACTTGGCAAACTGCCCCGGTCACAGAACTGGGAAGAAGTTGCCAAGAGATCGATGTTCCACCTGCAGTATACGGACTGCAGGTCACTTTCGGATCACTTGACAGCGTCGATTCCAAAGTCTTGCGAGGATAAACGCCTTGCCATTGAGATGTCTGGACTCCGCCAAGGACTCTGGGAGGAGGACGAGCTAACGCACGTCCTGTATCACCCCTGTGGCGACGAGTTGAGATGGATACCGACGCACTTACAACTTGCGGATTGTCTCACTAAGAGTATGAAACCGCTTTTGATCAATCACAGCATTGATCGCAATCTCGTACAGGTACTCGATGTGCCCGCGCAAGCCGCACAGAATACCGAGAGTACCGAAAGCACTCCGCTTCACGATTGAAGAACTCAGCCTTGAGCCTTGAGTCGCTGTACTCGGCTCGGTTGACTGTGCAAGCTCCCGGTATAATCCGGTGAAGTAGGTTTGGTCCAAAGCGACCAAAATTCGAGCATGATTCGGACGTCACACTACAGATAAGACGGGTGTGAAATTTCCCTGTCTTGAAGGGCCGTGTTGACATGTCCTCATGCGAGCGTAGATTTTCATGCTTAGTTCTGAACGCACCCTGTATGACAGACGTCTTGGGCTCAGATCAAAAAGTGCGCTCGTTGTGTGGTTGGACACTCACTAATCCAGTTCCTGCTTCAAAAGGGGTTTTGGGTTGAAGGTTTGGCTGCAGTGCGTTGGGTGCCACCTGCCCGACAAAAGTCCAAACCCCCGCGACTCGAAGCCAGAACCCGGTGGAGGCTTCAACCCCTCAATCGAGAGAGTCGGAGTTTCGAAAGTTTGGGCTGGTCGGCTTTAAAATCTTTCACCCTAGGCCGTAAACGCCTCCTCCGGAAGCACTATCTATACCCTGCTGAACTCGAAACCGTTCCTACGGCCTGGAGGAGCAGCAGGTCAAGCGAGCGCACCTGAAGGACCTCCCGGGAGGGATGTGTCGACGGATGGATCTAAGGGCTTGAACAATGAGCAATAAAGGCTAGTAGTCCCTAGTCCCTGTGTCATTCCGCGATCATGGTTGAGGCTCCGGTGAAGGTATGTGCAGGTCTGAAGGATCCATTCTTCAGCACACTCTAAACTCTAGCAGCCTAGCAGTTCTTGGCCCAGCAAGCCCTTCCATCCTTGGAGGTCCCTTCTTTTGCTCTTTTATGCCACCTCGTAGAGAGGGAGAGGAGAGTGTTGGCCCAGGAGACGCAGAGTTTGAACCTCGAGGTCCGCGCCTGAGCTTTTCCACTGTGCCGCGCGGTGGACACCACGAATTCCGCGAAAGGCTGCTCGCTTCGGACTCGGGGATCGGCAGACGACGGATCAGGCGGTTTCCGTTCAGCTGGGAAGAGCGGCTTGGCTTCTCGTGCTCTGTGCAGGCCGCGACGGCGTCGGCCCCAGTGTCGCCGGTGTCTGCGAGATGCTCCCTCTCCTATGGCGAGGCGCCCGAGCGAGCGGGGTTTGGAAACAGCGGGTGAGCATTGAACCGCCAAGGGACGTGTGTGGTTCGGAGTGTGACTACAGGGCTTCGAGACTCGGAAGCCACAGGCGAGCCGCACCAAGCTGCTCTCCAAGAAGCAGAAGCAGACGTCTGTGCAGGCACAAGAGGCGGGCAAGGCTTCATGACTCCCATTTACAAGGGCTTCTTCGGCTTTTTCTCGTGTCGCAGAGTTCTACTTGTCTTGTGCTAGCTGCCAGCACCAAGCAGGAAGCCTCGCAAGGGCTGAAGATCACCCTGAGCATGGCGCCAAGGACCGCCGAGTTCAAAAGAGCACGAGTTGAGACTTTCGGGGTGTCTTCCAACGTTGCGTGTCCGGCCTTCTTGGGCTTGGTCTTCGGCTTTCTTGGGTGCCTCTGCTCTGCTGGTATGTTTCTCCAGGACGGAGGAGCCTGAGGAGAAGGCTGGGCCAAATTCGCGAGCCCCTGCCAGGCCTCAGAAATCTCTGCGACGCACATGCAGGAAGAAGTCGAGAAGCGGAAAAGAGACAGAGGCTCTGAAAAAGCAGGCTTGAAACCCAAGAAGGAGAGATGAGGCCGGATTCCTGAGGCATGGAGGATTGACATTGAAGCGTCACCAGTCGTTGCAGTTTCAAGGATTTAGAGTTGGCTGCTTGGAGCGGCCAGTTTTGTCAGGCGTTTCCGCGCTGCTCCTGCTAAAGCCGCTTCTTTGCGCTGCGACATGGCACGTGCCTGACGGCTTTCTTTGGTGCCTCATGGCCACGATCTGAGTGTTTGTACCGCAGTGCTGCTGGCAATCAGTTTTGGATTGCGGCACCCACAAAGGGTGTAAGTAATTCACCGTCGAAACTCCTTGAATGACATGCCGAAAATGTACAGGCCGGCATCACCTCCAGGATTTTGAAGCTGCTGATTGCAAAGCTCCTTGCACTATCTGCCGTTGCCGAAGGGCGGGTGGATCCTGTAAAATACATTTGCTGCCCCTCCTGCCGGCACGAGAACCGCGAGGACTGCCTTCGTCGGCTGGTCTGACGAGCAAGATGAGCACTTGCTGCGTAGCTGTTATGTGCTCCACGTCGAGGAAGTAAAGGACACCCTGTGCCCCTCCTACACACGCTAACCTCTGCACGGCGGCCGTCCTCGTCGCCTCCCTCTAAACTCCGTGGCCAAAGGCCGAGAACGCTCGAGCGCTTCGAGAAAAGTGTGCCGACGAAGCCCGAGCCAAGCTTGAGAGAGGGTGGTGACTCCAAGTTTCGAGTGTGAGGCTCCTGGAGAAATCCGAGAGTGGTGCTAAGCAGTGGCACCTAGAGTCTAGAGCTATGGCTTGTGACTCCTAGGTCCTACGGAGGTGACTTGACATGCGAAAGGAGTGCAGGAGCCCTCTGCCGAAAGCTTTTTGAGAGTCAGGCTTCTCTAAAGTGTATAGTGTACAGTTACTGCGTGTTTTGTATTCCGTTGTTAGATTTCTCTCTGGCCTTCACAATTTCGAACCCTTTGTGTCTCTTTGTAGTGGATGTGCAGAAACTATAGTCGGATGAAAGAAGCGCGACATGCGCAGGGCTATATACTCATTGCCGCTTTCTCCACGTGAACTACATTGCAGGTTATGAAATGGAAGGGAGCCTGCGCGGCAGACTGTGGCTGCTCGAGGGCGCATTGGCTTGCGGCCAGCCATGTTGTCATGTCTTGGCTTTATGACTTTATGACGTCGAATGGCCCCATGGGGGACATGAGGCCAGTCCTGTTCGGAATGCTGCATGCAGGCTGCATGTTCTGCATTCTCGAGTGCATTCAACCGCACGAAAACCATCAACATAGGCGTCGCAGCACTTTCAAAGCAAAAGGTGGAACACGCCCGCTCATTCTGAGGAGATGTGCAGGAGCTTGGACAGCAGAAGAAACGCGTGAAGTCCTCCTGGGCCTTCTCTGCGCATCTTCACGAGCGCGTGCTTCCTATGCTTGGGTCGAGCCATCATCGGGGGCTTGCGAGCGGCCAAGGGTGATGACTGCCGAGTTTTCCGTGGTTACAAGTGTTGAAGCAACAGAAAGAGGCACACACTACCAGCTAGAACAAACAGGGGGAAACAACCGCGACCTTTGTTGACACCAAAGTTTCTTTTACTGCATGAACCGGGAATGGGGCGCCATGGGCGGCTTGGCGCGCGGTCCGCAACGCAGGCTCTTCCCTTGCGTAAGGAAGGACAAGAAGGAACAGAGAGAGAGAGAGAGAGACAGAGAGACTGAGAGACTGAGAGTGAGAGTGTGAGGGAGTTTATGTACGACACACACGAACAGTACAGGAGACCCAAGTCCGCGAGATGTAGCTGCACTATACGGCTGCCAACCTGCCCCAAGGCTAGCAAACGGGGCGGCGCTGTTGGCCGCGTGTTGGCAGTCAGAGGCCGGCCGGGTCTTATTCCAGGTTCCAAGCAGCAGCATGTCTTTGGAAGCAGAGCGAAAGCGGGTCTTCCGGGATGACATGGCGGTCGTTCGCAGGGCGCGTCAGCACGGTTCTGTTTCTTCTCGTTTCAAGCGGCTTCCAAGGACCTTCACCCCAACACAGAGCAGCAGCTGGCTGCAGCCGCGTGCTCATTCGGATCATGGAAGCGTAGGGAGTGTTAGGCCGCCTTTTTTTGTAAGGGTGGGTGCCCTCCAAGAAATAGCTCGGAATGCATGTGATTTGGAGGGTGCATGGAAGCGCTGGAAGATCAAGACTCCTTGCATCCAGGGTTGAATCTAGCATCAATCTAATTTGTTTGAACCATCGCCTCAGGCCCACTATGGCCATCCTTAACCCGGCCCGTGTTCTTGCTGTCGCTCTGTCGCTCCACGAAGATTCCCCGAGAGAGAGAGAGAGAGAGAAAGCAAGAGAAAGAGAAAGTGAAAGTGAAAGTGAAAGAGACAGACACAGAGACATAGAGACATAGAGACATAGAGACACAGAGACACAGAGACACAGAGACACAGAGACACAGAGACACAGAGACACAGAGACACAGAGACACAGAGTCTAGAGACACAGAGACACAAAGAGCGTGGCTTCCAAAGGGCTCGATCGAGTCTAGCAAGCAGCAGCTGGCTGGCGGAATGAGTCGACATGTGCTAGCCAACTGCTGTTGGAATCCTAGCGGCATGCTGTTGAACCTGCTGTCACAGTGCCTTCGAACATTGAAATCAGGTCCTGTTTAGGTGCCCTCGAATGGCGGTCACAGCATTTCTTGCTGTTGCCGCATCATTCCCAAATACAGGCAAGAACTTAACCTTCCTGAGATGGCACAGCACGGCGACTAACGGTTAACACAAGACTTGTACATGTCTTGCGCGCCCTTTACAGAACGATGATGCTGGTCAGCGCCTGGACCAGGTGTGGCCATTATGCATGACACTAATTATGCGTGAGGGCGCCGGAGTAGGCACTTGTTACCTTGACCCGGATCGGCAACAGCCATGTGTACGGTAGTTGGAAATTGCTGCGAACTGAGGTTAAAAAACTGTCCTGATGTTGCAGAATTTCTCGAAAGACCACAGGCGACAGAGGCATCTGTGCGCAAAGAGGTCCGCAGACCGCGGCCCGACTGTAAGGAAAGGGGCCGCCTGCACAAAAGAGTCCCTGACAATCGTAAGGAACCGGTGCGACTCAAGTCCTAGAAACGTTGCTGCATGCTACGGCTGCCAAGGGTCAACTCGCATTGTTCCAGTCGGAGGCCGGCAGGTTTCTTTAGGTTGGAAGCAGCTGAAATCGAAGGCAGATGCGTGTCTTTGGAAGGAGAGCCGATGCGCTGGCCGTCGTTCGCAGGGCACGTCTGCCTCTCGAGCGGCAAGAGTCCTGTGTACAGTGGTTGCAAGTTGCTGTGAATATGAAGTTGGAAGACATTGGAAGACTGTCCTGACGTGCCGCAGTGCAGAATAATCGATGAACCACTGGTGCAGGAAGAAGCGTTACTCCGCAAGGAGCTGAACTTTCAGCAACTGGACTGCAAGGAGACCAGGCGTCTGCAGCAACGAGAATCTGATGATCGTAAGTACAGGAGACCCAAGTCCGCGAGATGTAGCTGCACTATACGGCTGCCAACCTGCCCCAAGGCTAGCAAACGGGGCGGCGCTGTTGGCCGCGTGTTGGCAGTCAGAGGCCGGCCGGGTCTTATTCCAGGTTCCAAGCAGCAGCATGTCTTTGGAAGCAGAGCGAAAGCGGGTCTTCCGGGATGACATGGCGGTCGTTTGCAGGGCGCATCAGCACGGTTCTGTTTCTTCTCGTTTCAAGCGGCTTCCAAGGACCTTCACCCCAACACAGAGCAGCAGCTGGGTGCAGCCGCGTGCTCATTCGGATCATGGACGCGCAGAGAGTTCGTGCTGCCATCGTTCGTAACGCCTTTGAGGTTGGAGACGCTGCAATCAAGTTGGGAAGACAGCCACTCGACTGCAAGCGGCGCCATGCGAAGACCCTCCAGAGATAGCTACACTGCAGGCTGGAGCAGTGCCAGCTCCTCCGAGCTGCTTCGTCCCTGTCCGAGGCAGGTTTTTATTGCTGAAACCTTGGAAAATGCGTGTTATCACGGATCCGTCCCGGCCTGCAGGGCGGGGCTTTTGGGGGCTTCTGGCAAGTGCACCTTCATCTTGTTCTAGCTGTTGTATCTGTCCTGGCTAATGGCACCGCAGGAACCGTGGTCCGGAATATCAATGAAGGCAGGAAGGGCAGAGGAAGCAGGAAGCGAACACACACCCGCTTTGTAGTGTCACATTGATTCTAGTTCTGACCACACTTCCAGGGTGTTTTGTTTTCCAAGCAGGTGCGTTGTAGCAGCAGGACATGGTTTTGGCACCATTGTGCTTCTATTGACAACGCAGTCTATTTTCCGTACTCTCCCGATAGTCTACATGATATCTGATATAGTCATATCTTGTGCGTATCCTAACTAGACTTCTGCCCAACTTCCACGATGCGAGCAAATTGCTGGTATACTGCCATGCAGCTTCCACTATTCAAGTCACGAAAGCTAGCTCTGTTGAGCTCGCGGGAGTTGCCCTTTAGCAATTTTCACTTGGTCTACCTTGTATTAAGGCACTAGGGCAAAACCAGGGCTTACACCTTATCAGGTGGGACGTCCAAGAGTTAAGGTGGGGGGGTGGGGGGGAGGAGGGGCCGCCCCCCCCCTCACCTCGCTCATGAAGCATTTTGAAGAGACAAGGTGTGGTTTCCCCCCGCCTCCCCCCCCCACCTTTAAGGTTGCGGCGCGTGGGACAAGGTGGGGGGGGGGCTCCCCCCCCCCTACCCACAGGTCCCCCCCCCCCTCCTTCCACAAGGTCCCTGAGTTTGCTTGTGTTTGAAGTTTGTCGTTTGCGCTGCGTGTCCAATTGCTCGCAGCTACGCTTCCTCTCCCCTAGCTTTCGTGGCCCTCTTCTCAAGGTGTTGAGCTAACGTGCAGCTACGATCAGGATGCAAACCCAGAAAAACTTCCCATGCTGCGAATAGCACAAGCTGGCTGGCAGATATCTCTCCACTACAACGAACTGCTTGAACTCTCCTGTTTCGACATGTGCTGACAAAAGTTGTCAGACTGCTTTGGGAATCCTCGT